CATTTAAGTTGTTTTCCTTTTAAACAATTTGAATGAAAGTGTTTTTATGCTCCCAGCAACACAATTTAGATCATTAACATTCATAAGAGGCTGGCTCCGGCGCTACCTGCAAAGGCCAACCCAGGCTGAAAGGGATACAAGACCCCAGCAGAAAGACCGAGATACTCAATTTTTAAAAAGTATTCTTATTCTTATATCTATATAATTATTATGTGTATATATGTATGTATGTATGTATGTATGTATGTATGTATGTATGTATGTGTGTGTGTGTGTGTGTGTGTGTGTGTGTGTGTGTGTGTATATACATATTATACATTTATATTGTTTTCCATTGTGTGTGCAAATTAGATGCTACTGTTGTCTAAATGTAGATATCTGGAGGCTCCATTAGAATATGAAATCAATACTCAACAACAATAATGATGAATATTTTCTATGTTAAAGAAACACCAAACCATATCAGATGAGGGGAAAGGGTAGGGTGGGGTGGATAAGAGTTTGAATCTTGTTAGATAGAACTATACTCGGTTTAATTCTATTGTTGTAGTCTTCACCTAAGATCCCACAATCAATAATTCCGGTTCACTTAAGATTTTGCTGTTAAAAAATAAACCAAACAAAGCAACAACAAATTTTAATACACAAGAGCCATCACTGAGATAAATTATCCCCCCCCCCCCCCCCGGAGTGTAAAAAGGGACTAAAAACGGTGCTCTCTATATCATACTTTACTGAACAAACAAACAAAAAAGAATAAGAAAACCTCCAAAGGCCATCCACGCTCATGCATGCGATCACACCTCCAAAGGTGCTGTTATCTCTTTTTTTTTTAAATATTTGAAATCATTGTGCGCTCTACTTTGTGAAAACCAGGAAACAAAATTATTGTAATCAATAATATTATTATTTATAGACCAAGACGTACTATTAGCAATCAGATAAAGCTGGCATCGACCCTCTGTTGTGTTCGCTATTCCTTACACATAAAGTTAGTTATGGCACACGCCTAGAATCATGCACTCATAATATCTTAAATTCAGTTTTAAAGTATATTTTTATCCATTTCTAATAATTAAATATTTTGGCATCTTGAAAGATTATCTTTATAATTTGGTATGTTTGATAATTTTATGTTACTTGGACAAGTTTTCTTCTTATTTCTTATTTTTCTTCTTATGCCCCCAAGATACAGAAGCATGGACCCACCAAGATTGCGTTCGTTCCGCAAGGAAGCAAGGTTGCCAAAAGAAAGAAAGCGAACGAAGCCATGAAAGACCAGAGCGGAGGCACATGGGAAGTAGCTGCTGACTTAAAAGGCTTTGAGAGATTCTTCCCCATTCCAACTACGAAAAAGCCAGACATTGTGTTATGGGAGGAAAAAGACAAAGAGGTACACTTGGTAGAGCTCACGGTGCCCCACGAGGACAATATCTATGCCGCTCATGAGCGGAAAGAAAACCGTTACGAGGCACTCGTCGAACAATGTGAGGAGGCAGGATGGAAGGCAACCCATTTTCCGGTAGAGGTAGGATGCAGAGGTTTTGTAGCAACAAGCGCCCGTAAGTGGATGAGAGTGGCAGGACTTACTGCAAAGAAAAGCAACGAACTCACAAACTCCCTTCAGGAGACAGCAGAGAAAGCCAGTCATTGGATCTGGTTGAAGCGAGAGGACTCAAGCTGGAATGAATCCTAAAGTTGGCAGCAGATGAAAACAGTCGAACTAACATGGAGACCTCACATCGGTGAGGGGGCTCGGTGCGTCAGAAAAGCTGTAGAGAGGAAGAGCCCGAAACAGCGACGCATTCTCTCCTGATGATCTCCATGCTAGAGTCCGGGATACGGAGCGTTCGACGGTGAGCAGTGCATACGGCTGTTTAGACTACGTACACATCTTTCTGATTTTTAAACTAGATTATAACATAAAACTCTTATAGAATTGAATAGTCTGTATCACACACATAATTTTTTTTCTCCCTGTCATTATCCGTCAGCCCGTCAGTTGATCACAATCTCTCTCTCTCTCTCTCTCTCTCTCTCTCTCTCTCTCTCTCTCTCTCTCTCTCTCTCTCTCTCTCTCTCTCTTCTCTGTCTGTCTGTCTGTCTGTCTGTCTGTCTGTCTGTCTGTCTGTCTCTCTCTCTGTCTGTCTGTCTGTCTGTCTGTTTCACTCTCTCTCTCTCTCTCTCTCTCTCTCTCTCTCTCTCTCTTATTTTTTCACCCTCGCGAGGTGTATATCGAGGGGGCGAGCAGAGAGACAGAGGGAAAGTGAAAGGTATACCCTCGGACCTTACCCAGGCTCGGCCAACGTCTTTATAGAAACGGGGCCAAAGCACTTAAGTACAATACCCACAC